AAGCGTCTTCTAGCGAGCCCTGGGCAAATGTCTGGCTCCACAGGTGGGCCCTGGCATGACTGGGGCGACGCGCGAACCTCCGATCTTCTACGCACTGGAGCGCGCCCTTGAGTTCTGAATAAAGGGTGTAAGTGCCGCCAAGGAAACGAGCGGCAACGCAAACAACATAATCTTTCCCATCTCTGGCTACCTGATCTGGGCACATCGTGGGCGGGGCGGGGCCGAGCCACCCCGCCACCCAGCGACGCTCATGGTCGTGGACAGCTATCCCCCAGCCCGCAGCTCTAAGCGAGGGAAAAAGGCCGTCCATGCCAGGGCCGTCGCAAAAAACGCCCCCCCCCCCCCCCCCCCCCCCCCCCTGGGGCATGAGCGGCGCACCCTGCCCTTCAACCCTGGACTCCCACGGGCCCCAAGGTCTCCGCGAGTAGAGCTGACAGGGATCAGGGGGGATGCCTCTGGCGAAACGCTCCTGAAGGTCCACGGGGCAAGGAGACAAACGACGAACGGAGGCTTTTAATTCAGCAGGGAGATGATCGCGGCGCCGCGCGTCTCTGGCTGGGCACGCGAAGTGCCTGTGGAACAGGGTGCCTGGTTCACCGCAGAGCCAGAGCAGGCGCAGTTTAGATAGGTCCTGGTCGTGTTGATGCGGCCGATGTTGGCACCAGTGCGACCCCGTGACCATTCCCCTCAAGGTTCGCTGCTCTCGTAGACCCCGAGCACCCCAAGTGCCAACCGCCACCTCCCCCGAATCGTCTTCAGCGACCTTGAGGTGCAACGGCTCATTGAGAGGGCGCCAGAAGATATCCCCAATCCAAGACCCCCCCTTGCCAATCTTGGCCAATCCTGCCGCGTCCGAGAGACGCCCGGCAGCGCATTTGGCCCTGCGGGCTATAAAAGGCGGCGAAATGTCACGGATATTCCAAGTTTCTCCAGTGGCTACTACGACCCTCCAAGGGTCCAGAAACTTAAAGCCCACTCTGCCGAAAGTGAGAGCGAGGGCGGCCACCGGATCTTTTACTCGGGCCCAGGGCCTGGGTTTCTCAGCCGTGGCAAAGGCCGCAGCAAAAAGAGCAGAGAAAACGGGGTCGGTCAGCATGCCGTCTTGGAGGATGTGTGTGTGTGTGTGTGTGCGCACGCACGGATCGCACCTGCCGTCAGCGACGCAAGTGGTCACGATACCATTCCCCTCGAGAGCGCATCGAGGCTACCACGAGCGAGCAGCCCCTCGGCAGACGGCCCTCGGCACGGATCGCTGAGACCCTGAGGCTCTTGAGCTTGCCATTGGGGGGGGGGGGCCCTGAATGTTGCCGAGGCCCCGGCCCTGAACATGTTCCCTACGGACGCTCCCGCTTCTCTGAAAGCGAGAACTTTAGAAACCTTCTTCTGGGCGCCAAACGCACGATCATGGTGGGTGGGCGCCCGACGTCTCGATCCGTCGGTCGCATCTCCCCCCGAGTCTCGGTGGACCTGGCACCTAACCTCTGGCGGCAAATTACAATCCTCGAGAACCTGCTCCGCCAGAGGCGTGGAGGAAGACAGGTGGCCGAGTCTGTTCAGAGCAATGGGCAAGCCCTTATTTTTCAAATCCGCCACTATAACGGTGTAAGCTGAGACGAGTTCGCGCCTGACAGTGCCTGCGCCGCCTGCGGCGTGCCGGGGCGCGTCGCCAATCGCACTTCTGAGCCCGGCCGAGGGGTTGGCATGGGCAGCTCGGCGCAGACAGGCTAGCAACAGGAGGCGAGCCAAAGAGGTGGCCCCAGAGCAGCCAGCTATCACCGTGCCATTGCACAGAAAGTGGGTGACTGATCGACCCCTGCCAAGCCACTCTGCGAGGCGCTCGATACACTGCGCAATATGCACGGAGCAATGGGAGGGGACAATCTGCGTGTTCTGCTGCAGCTCGCAGCTCCTGGTTAGAGATATGTTCGTAAAAATTGCGGAGGTCCAGAACAACAGAATGCAAGTCTCAAGACCAGGGGCCATCCGCGCATGCGCTTTCAGAGCTTTGTGCACCCAGGCACTCTTGTCACAGGCTGTGCTCGTGTTCATGCCCCAGAAAAAAAAAAAACGAACGTCCAAAGCGCGCTCCCATGTCGAGTGCAGCTGGTGGCGGATTCTGCCCCAGGCCCGAGCCCGAAGGGGCAGCGACCCTATTGGGCGGACTCCCCCTGGCGGCTTGTCCAGGAGAACCAAGCGGGCGAGCCGCGTCGGGCCGGCCGTGGGGCGCCGCTCCCAAGCGTTAAGGACGTCAACAACAGACTGGGCAAGGGGCCTGGGCAGCTGGGGGGGGGGGCAGACGTGGACTGAGCGAGTCCCAGCCTAAGCGGGTGGATGGTGAAAAGGACGCCGCCGCTTGCAAGGCTTGCTCTGGAGTGATCTCCGCGAGGTCGCCCTGCGCAGGCCAACCCAGCGGGCCCCCCCCCTCTCCCCATGGCTGTATTGCTCCACATCGGGGGCCGCTGCTTGAGAGTCTGGTCGAGGGCCTCTTGCCCGGCCAAGGGGTGTGGCTAGCCAACGTGCCCCCCTCCTCCGCGCCCCCAGCATCTGCAGCAACAAAACAGGCAGGGGCGGATGAGCTGGGCCTTTGATGAACTTGTGGGCCACCTGAGACCCCCGCTCGACGACGGGCGACTGGGCCCAAGACTTCCACTTCTGGCGACCCCCAGCAACCTCCTGCCTCACCCTGCGGGGAACTTCGCCCTGAAGCAGGTCGGCAAGCCGCTTTCGAGATTCGGGCCGCTGCAGCCCTTCAAAAAGAGCGGCCAGCGACAGCTGGCGCAAGTCTTCCACTTGCGCCGATGGAAAAAAAGGTCGCGCAGAGGAGATGCTAGGTCGAGGAGCATCTGGGCACCTCGCCCTTTCATTATCTCCGCGGCCAGGCGCCTGCGGGAGAGCCGCCTGCGCGTCTAGATGTCAGCTCGCAGGTGAAGCTCCTGCCCCAGGCTGCCTGAAGGGGCGCTAGCTGCAGCTGGCAGCCCCGAGAACGGCCAAACAACCTGCGGTCCTGGGCGCCGTGGACCTCGCCGAGGGCCCTCTCCGCCGCGTCGAACCAACGCTTAGCAACATCCTGGGGGTCAAGGCCCTGGAAATCGGGCCCGTCCCGGGAGCCCGAAAAAACAATTGTCTCCTTCTCCTCCTTGGATGTCGGCAGTGGGAACGGCCGAGGAACGATCCTCTTCCAGACCTTGGCCGAGCCTGAGCCTCTACCTCTACAGCCTGATGAGGGCCGACAAGGGTGTCCTCGATCGCCTGGGCCTGCCCTATGTAATAGCCCAGGCAGGAACTGACCACGATGAAACCGTAGCATCTGTCATGACAAGTTGGGCCTCGAGGCCTGATGATACTGGCTCGTAGATGCCCTGTCCACTGTGTCGGGCGGAGCTCTTCGGCATCGGTGCTCGAACTACCTGCAATGACGAAAGGGATGTCAGCATCAGTCACGACCTCGCTGGCTTGGTCGAGAAATTCAAGACTGGCCCCTGCTAGGCCTAAGGTGGTGTGCCCATAGACAGACACAAGGAGGATCTGGTTCCGCGTGGATACTGCAAGCTTCTGACTCACGAGCCTGTGGGAGGTCCTCGTGTGCAGATATTCAGCCGAGCCAAAAGGCGTCTTGGCCAAAACCGCGGTGCCTCCTGATGTCTCTCTGTCGCCCGTGCCCGTCTTGGCCGCTGGTGCAAAGGACGGCTGGTAGCCTGCCTTGTAGGCCCAAGACTTGGGCCCTGCCAACTGAGGTCGCTCCAGTCGGTGTTCCTGAAAAAAGACGGCGTCGTACACCACGCCCTTAACCTCCTTGGCCCACCCCAAATGCTTGGGGCCAGTAGACCAGGCATTGGAGTTGTACGTAAGGATCTGGATCTCAGCCTGGCCGTCAAAACCTTCGATCTCACCACTGTGGAGGCGCCCTCCTTCGTCGCCGTTGCTGACCGAATCGGTCGGCCAACCGACCGAAGTTGGGGTCGAAAAAGAACGTGTCGCACACCTGGCCAGGCCAGCAAGGGAGGGGCCGCTCGGCCTGGGGGCAGCAGTCCGCTCATGAGCGGCCCGAGGCGGAGGCTGGGCAAGGGGGAAGGCTTCGACCACCCGCATGTCTGCGGCTTCCCTCGCTTGCCCGCTACCCTCTCCCTTTAGGGTTTGCCCAGGCCCTGGGTTTTAGGCTCCCCAAGGACGGCTGGGCGCCCCAAAAAGTCAGACCGCCTGCGGCAATCCAACAGCGCTCGGAACATAGCAATGATGCTCTGCAGCTGGGCCCAGTGGTGCTCCGCAAAAGGCTGCCAGACCGCCTGGGTCAGCAGCCTCATCATGGCGATGAATCTGTTGCGTCGACCTTTGCCTCGAGCCCAAGCCGAAAGACAGGCTCCCCGAACAGCCTCGTCTAAAAATCCGCCAGGGCTGTCTCGACGCACAGGGCTGTACCTCAGCAAAAAGGCACGGCGGAGCTGAGCGTTGCCTGCCTGGCTGAGGACTTCGCGTAACCAGGGCTCGCACCAGCCCATCCAAGACGACCTGTCCAACCAAGTCTGGCCTTCTAGGTTCCAGATCCACCGATCACTCCAGCCAGACATCATAATCACGAGCTCGCGACGATGCCGATCAGGATCAGGCGGGGCCTCAGCAATGCCTGGCGGTGGAAGCCCCATCCAGAAAGACGGGCTAAGCAGACTTCTTTGCCACTCTGTCACGAGCGGCTGAGACGGCGGCTTCTGTCTGCTCTGGAGAGGGCAAGCCGCCTCCCGCACTTGGGCCTGGGAGGCCCGGCCCGCCCTACCGGCACGTCTGAGGACGCGACAGGGAAGGGGCACTCCTCAGGAAAAGCGATGGGGGAGAAAGAGGAGGAGGCGGAGGAGGAGGAGGAAAGATATGAGGAGGTGGAGGAGGAGTGCCTCCTCCCCCTCCTTCCCCTCCCCTCCTCCTCCTCCTCCTCTTCCTCCTCCTCCATCTGCTTCTCCTCCTGGAGGGCTGAGGGAGCTGTGCCATCTCCCCGCGGCAGGGCTCCCGGCCTCTCAGCACGTACCCGGGCCTCGCGCCGAGGCCGTCCGCGGTGAGGAACCTGGGAGCGAGGCGCTGCCAGCCACGGCCGCGCTTTTTCGCTGGAGGCCGTCGGGGCCTCCTCTTTCCGCCTTTTTCCTCCTTCAGCCTTTTCTCTTTTCTCTCTGCCGCTCCCCTCCTCCTCCTCCTCCTCCTCCTCTTCCTCCTCCTCCTCCTCCTCTTCCTCCTCCTCCTCCTCGCCGCCCCCTTCTTCAGCCTCCCTGTCCTCCTCGCCGTCTCCTCCTCCTCCTCCTCCTCCTCCTCCCGCTGCAACTCCTCCTCCACCTCCTTCCTTTTCGGATCCTCCTGGACTCCTGATCCTGCTGATTTTCCCGGTCGTTTTCTTCGTCGTCCTCCTCCTCCTCCTCCTCCTCCTCCTCCTCCTCCCCCTCATCTTCACCAACATCACCACCTTATCATTACCTTCGCCACCATCATCGGATTCATCACCACCTCGCCACCGTCATCATCACACACACACACACACCTTCGCCAGCATCATCACCATCATCACCATCATCATCATCACCATCATCATCATCATCATCATCATCATCAACTTCGCCATCATCATCGTCGTCCGCATCACCATTACCACCATCGTCATTGTCATCGTCGTCGTCGTCACTACCATCACCACCATCATCATACTCATCAAAAACACCATCGTCGTCGTCGCCACCATCGCCATCATCATCTCCATCCCCATCGCCATCGCCATCCCCATCCCCATCAGCATCAGCATCAACAGCATCATCCTCATCATCCTCATCTTCCTCACCATCCTCATCGTCCTCGTCTCGATCCTCATTCCCTTCCTACTCCTCCTCACCCTAATCCTCAGCATCAACAGAATCCTCATCATCGCCATCCTCCTCCTCCTCCTCCTCATCATCAACATCACCATCCCCATCACCATCATCATCATCATCATCATCATCATCATCATCATCACCATCGTCATCATCATCACCGCCATCATTACCATCACCATCACCACACCATCATCTTCACCACAACCATCATCATCACCTCCATCATAATCATCGTCGTCGTCATGACTATCACCCTCATCATCATCATCCTCATCATCATCTTCATCATCTTCACCATCATCAGCATCATCTTCACCGTCGCCCTCCTCCTCATCCTCCTCCTCATCCTACTCGACCTCATCATATTCATCATCCAGGTCATCCGTATCCGTCATCTTCATCCTCATCATCATCCCCCTCCTCATCATCACCGCCACCATCATCAGTGCCATCTTCTTCATCACCATCACCATCATCCTCATCCTTATCGCCATCTTACTGCTCATCTTAATCCTCATCATCAACATCGTCGTTATCCTAATCATCATCCTCACCCTCATCCTCATCAACACCACCACCATCGTCCTCATCCTCATCCTCATCCTCATATTCGTCCTCATCATCATCATTCTCATCCGTCATCCGTCATCCGTCATCCGTCATCCTCATCCTCGTTTTCATCATCACCACCATCACCATCAATGTTATCAGCACCATTTTCATCATAACCATCATCATAATCAGTATCCTCATCCCCTCCTCCTCCTCCCCATCAGCATCGTCATCGTCATCATCATTGTCATCGTCATCATCATAATCATCTTCACCATCATCACCAACATCATCAGCAGCACCATCACCACCGTCATCATTATCACCATCATCAACATCAACATCATCATCACTATCATCATCATCATCATCATCACCATCGTCAACTTCGTCTGCACCCGTCATCTTCATCTTCATCGTCATCCTCGTCCTCATCATCACCACCATAATCATCATTACCGTCTTCTTCTTCATCATCATCACCACCGTCATCCTCATCCTTATCCTACTGCAAATCATCATCCCCATCCTCATCCTCATCTTCAACATCACCCGTCATCCGTAACCCATCATCCTCATCCTCAGCATCGCCACCATCATCATCATCATCATCATCATCATCATCATCATCATCATTGTCATCATCACAATCATCATCACCATTATCATCATCATCCCCATCATCACCTGCAGTAGCACCAACATCATCGTCACCAACATCATCAGTACTAGTATCACCATCATCATGATCATCATCACCACCATCGCCATCATCACCATCATCATCATCATAATCATCATCATCATCCTCCTTCTCATCATCAGCAGCGTCATCACCACCATCACCATCACCAACACCAGCCCCTTCTCATCACCATCGTCGTCATCATCATTATCGTCATCGTCATCGTCCCCTTCATCGCTATCGCGTTCTTAATTTACTCTTTTGTTTTTTTTAGGGGGCTCTTCGGGTGCTTCAGAATTCCCAAGGCCTCGGGCGGCGCAGTCGGGTGACCAGCCACGCTCCCGTGGCGACTGTCCAGACAGGGCGGTTGCCGACGGCGGAGGGAAAGGAAGAAACGCACTAGGAGGCAGCGGACCACCACGGCACCACTGCGGGAGGTCGTCCCCGGCCGAAGTTACGGTGCGGGCCCAGCGGGAACCAGAATTTAAAAGAAGAAGCCTGGACCCAAGTCACAGGGGACGAAACAGCACTGTCGAGTTCCGGGGTAGGAAGAAACCGGAAACAGCAGACTGACACGCCTTTCAATCCACCACGCTTCAGTAACCGATCGGTGGTGTCTCGCTGTGGCTCGGATGCGGGCGTGGATCTGCTGTGGCACAATCCCACAAACGGCATTATGACGATGACAATTGTGGGCAAACAAGAAAGCATCGATAGTGGCAGCGGAAATCATAAGCACCGTCCGCGGCCTTTCGTCTATCGGGAGCAAAAAGAAAAGCCAGGGAGGGGAGGCGGAGAACGGGGGCATCAGTTCACCAAGCCAACTTTCACACATCCCATAGAATCGAGAGCAAAGGGCAAAATGGATGACATCATCGAGATCGGCAAAAGTGGGGTCGAGCGGGTCGGAGGGGCAACCAAAAAGACAACCATGAGATTGAGCGTGGAATCTGGCCGACGCGTTCATACCACGAGCAAGCATACGCAAGAAAGTGAGACCGAGATGCGGGCCTGAGCGCTTCACAACATATTTCACCGCCTTCACCACATGCACCGCTACTTCCCCCGATAAGGCTTCCATCCACTTCCTCATCCGTAGCAGCAACATCGCACAAACATCAGGCGAGAACTCGGGCAGCGCCGCCAACGTACGCGCGACGGTCGCCTGCAGGGACTTTCCGTCCTCAGGTGTGCCCTTCGGCGCAGCAGACAGAAAACCGCGAACGTTGCGGAAGGTTCGAAGGAAACCAGGAGCACAGCTGATATTGGCCCAGCCAGACATCGTCGTCGCTATACAAGCCTCATCGCTCTGAAAGAATATTTCAAAGTCCGCTAAGATCCCCGAGATTTCTTCGCGCCTCCAGATCAGTCGGGATTTCGGCGCCCGAAACGCCCCTTCCAAATTCTTAAACTGGCCAGGGGTTCCCAACTTCGTCAGCTAGGTAAGCATACCGTAATTAACGCTAAACCTCGGACCGATCACCATCAACTGGAGGGCATTGTTGTACGCCGCATGCACGGCGTGGGAAGAAGGCGCAAACTTCATGACAAAGGACAGGACGCCTAAGCAGAGAGTGTGGCAAGGGTGAGATGTTCTTCGCGATTGAAGGTCCTGCCTACCTAACCTCCCGGACACGAAGCAACACAACTTCGCCGACGGTTTGCTGCAGTAAATATCAGCAGCTGGAACTCCTATCGCCATGCCCATGTAATTACGCGCAGTAAGAAGCTGCACCTGGGCGAGCCCACGGGGATGCTCACAAATATGGCGCTGGAGCGTCGTCCGCAAGACTGTCAAATTCACAAGCGCCACACCCTTGGCAATCTTCAAGGATCGACCGAGGGCGGCATCAAGAACGCGAGTCATCCCAGACAGCCTGGACAGGTGGCGCAGAATGCGTCGAAGTCCATGTCGACGCTCATCTGCATATTCAAGCTTCAGATACAATCCCCCAAGCAAGCTCTTGCTGACGAGCTCCTGGAAGGGGAGCAGCCCCGAAACAACAAACAACGTGACAACGCCATGGAAGCGGGGTCCCCCAGGCGAGCCCCACGGGCAACCGAAATCGCCGCATCTACCTGTCCCATGGCCGAACTGAAAGCAGCGTCGTCGCTATAGAACTCAAGAAAAGCTGGACAATGAAACCAGGACCTCCCATCTTGGCCAAAACCTCCAAGAACCGCTCAATCGACAGAGAGGGGGCAGCAGCGGAGTAGTCCGTCAACGCCATCGAACTGTCTTCGTTGCCCAGCGCATGCTCAGACAGGGCCCGAGCCTCCGCGCGAACGACGCGCGCGGCCACGCTGCGGCCAGAAGTGCGCGCCCGCGAAATCGAAACCGCCAAGCGAGCAACGTCGTTAAGCGGGCGGCACATGCACGAGCGCACCAGCTTGGCGACAGCACTGGCCATGGAAAGTGGACGGGTGTTTGCATGGGGCCCGATGTACTCGAGAACGCGCGCCATCCCTGGACGCACCTTTCGAAGGAACAAAAACCATCGACACATCCGACATATCGCGCGACAGATTCCCGCGCTTCCCCTCCGCCAGGCCCCGATAAAGTTGCGCAGAAGGCGCGGGGCGTACCCGGGGCGCCAACGGTAATGCGGGATCCCGTCAGGACCAGGCGCGCCGCGTTTCAGTTGCATGTTGACGCCCTCCCATGCCTGTCGCGCAGTCCCCTCCCCAAGACACCGCTTGTCTTACAAGCGCCTATCGGGCCAGAGACAATAGTTCGGTCCACTTGGAGCGGCCTTCTTGCACGTCACAGAAGACTGCCCCCCCCCCCCCCCCCCCCCCCCCCCCCCCCCCCCCCCCCCCGCAGCGGTTCCGCGAGGCCTCGGCCGAGGCAGCAGGGGGGCGGGCAGGGGTGGCCATTTGGGTCCAGGGCTCCTTGAAGCCGCGTGCGACGCCGGAACTGCTGCCAGAACAATCTCCGCCGTGCAATATTCCCCCCCCCCCCCCCCTTCT